CCACAGCTCCTCCCTTCAGGAAGGCATGGGCTGTTTTATCTACCTTTGTTATGCAATGTATCTTAACTGCTCTGCCTTCTGCTCTGTTGGTACCCTTCTTCCCCACCCCCACCTTTTTGCAGGATTAGGGGGTTCTCTGATTTTCCAGGGACCTATGCTCTGACCTACCTTGTTACAACATCAAACTCAATAGTGAAAGTATTTCCTTTAAGATCAGAAACAAAACAAGGATGCCTACTCTCACCACTATTATTTAACATAATATTGGAAGTCAGCCAGAGAAATCAGACAAGGAAAATAAATAAAAGGCATCAAAATTGGGTGTGAAAAAGCCAAATCATCCCTTTTGGCAGATGACATGATTATATATATTTCTACATATTTCTATTTCTATATACAAAGAAATATAGAAATTTCTATATAGAGAAATAGAAATAGAAATATATAGAAAACCCTGAAGACTCCACCAAAAATCTATTAGAAACAATAAACAAATATAATAAAGTTGTAGGATACAAAATCAATGTACAAAAATCTGTTGTCCTATATACTAATAATGAAATATCAGAAAAAGAAAGGAAGAAAACCCACTCTCAATTGCAGCAAAAAGAATAAAATACCTAGAAATAAACTTAACAAAGGAAGTAAAATACCTATACACTGAACACTAAAAGACATTGTTTTAAGAAACTGAAGACCCAAAGAAATAAAAAAATACTCCGTATTCATGGATTGGAAAAATCAACAGTTAAAATGGCCATATTATCTAAAGCAATATACATACAGCTTTAATGACTTTAATGTTGCCTACATTAAAATCCCAATGGCAGCCCTGGCCAGTGTGGCTCAGTTTATTGGAATGTCATCCTGTAAACCGAAAAGTCACCAGTTCAATTCCTGGTCGGGCACATGCCTGGATTGTGGGGTTAGTCAACTAGTCCCCGCTGGGGTGTGTGCAGAAGGCAATCTCTCTCATATCAATGTTTCTTTCCCTCTCTCCCCCGCTTCCACTCTCTGAAATCAAGAGGCATGTTCTTGGGCGAGGATAAAATAAATAAATAAATAAAAATTAAAAATAAATCCATTTTTCAGAGAACTAGAACAAGAAATTACCAAATTTGTATGGAGCTGCGAAAGACCCCAAATAAACAAAATAATCCTAAGAAAAAGGGTAAAGCCAGAAGTATCACATTCCCTGACTTCAAATTATGCCACAAAGTTACAATAATCAAAACAGTATAGTATTGGCAGGAAAACATACACACAGACCAGTGGAACAGAATTGAGAGCCAGAAATAAACCCACACGTATATGGGCAACTAATTTTTGACGAAGGAGCCAAAAATGTACAATGGAGAAAAGAAAACCTCTTCGATAAAGTGTTGGGAAAATTGGAAAGCCACATGCAGAAGAATGAAACTAGACTATTTGACACCATACACAGAAATTAACCCAAAATGGATTGAAGACCTAAATATAAGACCTGCAACAACAAAACACACAGAAGAAAACATAGGTAATAAACTTATGAACCTTGACCTCAAAAGCAAAGGAAATAAAAGCAAAAAATAATGAATGGGACTACATCAAACCAAAAAGCTTCTGCACAGCAAAAGAAACAACCAACAAAACAAAAAGGCGACTAACCAATACAGCACAGAGAATATAGTCAATAATATTGTAGTAACTACGTATGGTGCCAGGTGGATACTTGAAATATTGGGGGCATCACTTTGGAAATTATATGGTTATCAAACCACTATGCTGTACACCTGAAACTAATATAAAATATTGAATGTCAACTATAATTGAAAAGTAAGATTTTAAAGAATTTTAAAAATAAAGAAACAACAAAAAGGCAACCAACTGAATGAGAGAAGATATTTGCAAACAATATATCCAATAAGGATATATGTCCAATAAGGTAATGTCCAAAATATATAAAGAACTCATGCAACTTAAACACAACAAAGGACGAACAATCTTATTTAAAAGTGGGCAGTGGACCTGAACAGACACTCTTCCCAAGAAGACAAATAGTCAACAGATATGAAAACATGCTCAACTTTACTAGCTATGAGAAATGCAAATCAAAACCACAATGAGATACCACCTTGCGCTTGTTTGAATAACTATTACTGATAAGACTAGAAATTAGTGTTGGAGAGAATATGAAGAAATAACAACCCTCAGACATTGCTGGTGGGAATGTAAACTGATACAGCTACTATGGAAAACAGTATGAGTGTTCCTCAAAAAATTAGAAGTATAGTTACTATATGACCCAGCAATCCCTCTTGCAGGTATCTAAAAGGATAGGATTTATTCATTAAGGTACATTTACCTCTATGTTCATTGCAGCATTTAGTCACAGTAGCTAAGACATGGAAACAACCTAAGAAGTGTCCTTTGATGAACAGATAAAGATGTGGTGCACATATACAATGGAATACTACTCAACCATAAAAAAAGATGAAATACTGTTATTTGTGAAAACATGAGTGGATCCTGAATATCATGCTAAGTGAAATAAGTCAAATGAAAAACAAGAACTGTTAGGATTTCATTCATGTGGGATGTAAATCAGAAAGCAACCAACAAACAAATAAAACATAAACATAGACAACAATATAAAAGCTACCTGAGGGGAAGGAGGTTGAGGAATGAAGAGAGTAGAGGGGTTCAAACATATGTACAGTGACAACACAAGACTAGACTTTGGGTGGTGAGAACACAATGCAATTTACAGATAATTATAGGATTGTACATTTGACACTATATTGTTATTAATGTCACCCAACAAACCTTTTTTAAGGCTTTCTGGGGTGGGGCCTCTTTGGGTGATAAGATTGAGATAGAGGCCAGAGCAGGCACTGTGGGACAAGTATAGGAGGCCATTGTGGAGCTCTTCTTAGTAGAGTTTCTCCAGAAGCAGATGCCGAGGCAAGGATTTAAGGTTATTTGGAAGAGGTGAACATTGGTAGGAGAGGCAGGAAGTAACACAGAAAAGGGAAAGCAGCCAAGAAAGAATGTTATTAAGCCAGAACATCTGTGAGGGAATTGGTGCTTATTTCTCTTGGGAAACTGAGACACCAGGTACAACTCTCACAGAGAGCTGAGGGACTATTGGGAACCATCCCGCCTGGTTCCAGAGACTGGAGCCTCGCCGACAGAGGAGAGGGCCTCGAGGCTGGAGCCGAGCAAGGAGGCCTTGGGAAAATAGGCCACTGAGGAGCCAAAATCTGTCCCCCTAGCTCCTGCCTCCCTCACATCACCCTTCTTGGCCCCAGAGAAAGGGTGGTTAGTCAATGACGGGTAAGACCCCTCGATTGCAGGGGCAACCTAAGACGGGCACAGTTGCATGGGGGCCATCAGAGAAGGACTTGGGGGACACAGAGAAGGGGCAAAAGACCCTCACCCCTTGGCTTTGTCATGGCCAGAGTCCTCATTCTACCTGAAAAAAAAGTCTCCTTATCTCTGGGCAGCCCTGCCCAGCTACTTGACCAGGTCAGTGAAACAATACTTAAGGCAGGTACAGCTCTGATCTGGATCAGGTGGTTCAGGGGACAATTAGGCTTGGAAAAGGAATGCATTACATCCTATGAAACTTACTTTGCTAAGAACACCTTTGAGTTAATGAGTACTGATGTTTGGGGTCTGAGCATAGAATGTGATCAGTTTTCCAGGTTTCAGGGCTGAATGGGCACCACCCTGTCTACCAGACCCTGACTTGAGGCAAATCTCTGTTTCTTTAATTGTTATCTATGATCTGTTTTCTGTAAACATAGGCCTTCAACATCGATTGATGAGCTTTGCATGCATGCTGTATACCCCTGCACATATAGTTCTCAATAAAAGCCACTTCAAGAGAAGGGCTCAGGGCACTCTCCACTAGAGGGAATTGCCACCCCCTTTTCCTGTCAGACCAAGAGTGTCTGGAATGACTTATTTTATTTTTCCTTCATCTGCAGTGACCCAGGGAGAATCTGTGGGAACAGGGTACCTCCCTCAAGGGACCTTGAATATTTATGACATATACCATTTCCTGTCAGTCACTGTTTGAGGGCTGTTATGAGTGGGAGGTTTCATGAACTCCCTGGCATTTAAGGCTTGCCATGCTCTTATCACTGGCAGACAGGCACCAGTGGTCTGATCATGCCCACAGGCAAAGCTTTAGGTGCTGGCACTGGCAATCAAACCACCATGTGTTGACAGGGGGAGCATGATGAGATATGGACTTAGCACCCACAGCATCTGCTACACACCCCCATCCAGGAAAATCCATCTATCAGGGGTGTCCAACCCCATGCGCCCCATGCGCCGCATGCAGCCCGAGATGGCTGTAAATGCAGTCCAATATAAAGTTATACATTTACTTAAACCATTGAATTTTTTTTGTGATTACGTGTCACAATGTATTTAATGTGTGGTGCAGAGATGCCAAAAGGTTGGACTACCCCCCAGCAAGGCACTACAGCCACTCCCCAGCACCAATGCCTCCAGAGATTAGAGGACAACATTTCTAGTCCAAATTGAGTTTAATAGGGAGTTTCAGGGAGGGATTCACTGGAAATAGAGGTCTGGGACTGGGGCCTGGTTGACTTTTGAATTAGGAAGCAGTAGGACCTAGGGGACTCTAATCCAGGAGAGTCCTTCCCAAATCCCAGGGTTAAGGACCTGAAGAGGTTGGGGGTTCATCATAACAGCTCTACTAGGATGGTACTGAGAGCTGTTTTGAGATGCGAGAATTATATCTCAGGTTCTAGGTATGAAGAGCTAAGTTAGGGGAGGGGGATTCCAAAAGATCCCAGAGGGGAAAAGGTTAGGGTCCAGGGTGTTTCACAGAAACAATCAAGGGGCCTCGATTTCACAGAAATCATCAAGGGGGCTCCTTGTGGGTGAGGGAGGGACAGCACACCACCCCAAATGTTGGGGACTGTTTACCACCCCGCCCCCAGCAGCCACTTTGGGGTTTTAATGTAAGACCCCCAATGGCAGGACATTCCACATACATTATCATGGATTTGCAACATTAGCATACGCTGGCTGTCCCACAGGACGGTGGGGACTGGAAAATCAGTCCAGGTTCTGGGTTTGAGTCCTAAGAGGACAGGCCTGGGGGTGCCACGCGGCTCCTCTTCAATAGCTGCCGGAGCTGTGAACAAGACAAGGCAGGAGATGTTTCAGAGGTTGCAAGAAGAGATGGGGTGGACACAGCTGGTGAAGTTGAGGGTTAAAGAACAAAAGTGGAGTGGGGTCAGTTAGGATTGAAGATCAGGGATTCAGAGTCAAGATTTGGAGATGGGGGTGAAGGTCTGGGTTCACACATTGAGAAAAGGCTCAGGAGCTAGAACTGAAGATGAGGAGAAAGCTGTTGCTGGTTGGGTGTTCCCACTTTTGGGCTCCCATTGAGATCTGGGAGTTAAAGGGTAGAGACACAGGGTCAGAGGTCCATCCCATTTGGGGGTCAGGAGTCCCACTTTGAGGTCAGGACTCAGGGTTAGGGGCAAGGAATTAGAGGACATACTTGGGGATTAAAGGTCATACCTTGAAGTCAGAATTCAGGATTAGAAGCAAAGATCATACTCTGAGGTCAGTGTTGAAGTAGAGGTCAGGGAGAGTTACCATTACAGTGTAAAGGATCAAATACTGAGGTAAGAGGTCACATTTTTAAGGCAGGGCTGGAGAGGAGTCAAGGTCACCTTCTGAGATTACAGGTAACCTTCTAAGGTCAGAAATGTGTAGGGTCAGGGGTTCACCAGGTTAGGTCAGAGGTCACACTGCAGTCAGGGTGGGCTCAGTGCTCACCCCCTCGGGGCCCGGCCCAGGCCGCAGCAGGTGGACAGGCTGCTCATTCTCCAGGTTTCGCAGTGTTGGATCCGCCCCAGCTGCCAGCAGGCTCCGCACTATGGCCTCCTGGGGTGGTCCAGGGGGCAGGGCAGCTGCCATGTGGAGGGCTGTGTTCCCATGGGCCTAGTGACAGTGAGGGGAGGACCGATGACTCAGACTCAGCTGGCCTTGGCACCCTTCACGTTCTGCCACATCTAAGACACGTATTTCTCCCTCCACAACCACATTCCACGTACCACCCCGTCTACGTCATACACATCCCACCTATCTATGTCCACATCCTCTACAGTTCCCATCCAATGATCCCCTTGCAGTCACAGCCTACAGCACTTTCAACATCCCACTGCCCTCTAGCCATATCTTTCAATCTGCACATTATAGCCTAGGCCCCCACCTTCATGTTGACAAAGGCCCGCAGGTCTCCCTGTGGCAGCTCCAGCAGCAGCTGAACTAAGGTGGGGTTGGCGGCCTGCACAGCCAAATGTAAAACTGTCTTGTTGCTCTTGATCTCCTGTGGAGAGGGGGACAGCAGAGATCAGACCAGTCTTCACACTCAGGCCTCATCCCATGGAGCCCAAGAGCCTTTAGAAACCCTGCCTCTCCCTTGTAAGCACCCAGGGGTGCCTTATACAGTTATATGGGTTGTACACTATACAAAAATGTTTAAGTGGGTGGCATTTGTATCATACAAATCACAGAACTTTACATTTATTAAGATAATTTTCCAGTTCAAGTGTCTGAGAAAACGGTTCCCTTCCTGATCTTCTAAAGGTGCTCTCTGGGCTAGCAGCTGGCCTGGCCATGCCACATTCTATTAGGCACAGTAAAATGTACTCACATCCCACGTGGACTGTACTTTATTTACAAGGATGCAAATTGAGCAACATTAATCAGTGGACTAAACTAAGCCTATATCCATTTCCATATTAAGCTGCTCTCTTCATATTTTGGAGCAAATAAAGCCATTTTCCACAATGAAATTTTGCATGAGCCTTTGAAGAATTTGTGATGATAACAAACATTAAAAATGTTATGTGGTCCTGGCTGGTGTGGCTCAGTGGATTGAGTGCCAGCCTGTAAACCAAAGGGTCGCCAGTTAGATTCCCAGTTGGGGCACATGCCTGGGTTGCAGGCTGGGTCCCCTCTTTGGGGCACGCAAGAGGCAACCACACATTGATATTTCTCTCTCTCCCTCCCTCCCGCTCTCTCTAAAAATAAACAAATAAAATCTATAAATAAACAAATAAAAATGTTATGTGTCTATACAGGGCAAAACAACCTAGTTGGCTCACCAAATAAATTATGAAGAGAAACAGAGATGGAGGGTGAAGCTCTAAATTAAGAGTGACTTAAGACATATCATCACAGTATGTGGGCTTTATTTGGATCCTCCAGGGGTTTTTTGGTTCTGTTTTGTTTTTAATGAAAAAAATAAATGTATCTCACGTGAGAGCCAAACAAAATTTGAACACAGCTAGGATATTTGATATTATGAAATTATTATTTTTAAGGTGGATATTGAGGTTAAAAGTTCTTAGCTTTTAAAGACAAACACATCAATTTTCAGATTAAATTATATGCTTGGATTTGCTTAAAAATAATATAGCTAAGTGAAGGAATAGATGGGGTAGGACTGGCTACAAGTTGCTGGTTATTGATGTTTGTTTGGTACATGGAGTTCATTATACTATTTTATTTTTTCTTTTTAATTTTTATTTATTGATTTGAGAGAGAGAGAGATACATCTATTTGCTGTTCCACTTTATTTATACATTCATTGGTATCTGATTCTTGTATGTGCCCTGACCAGGGATCGAACCCACAACCTTAGTCTATGGGAACAATGCACCAACCCACTGAGCTACCCAGCCAGGGCCATTATACTATTTTCTGCACTTTATCTGTGTCAAAATTCTTTAACAAAAAAAAGAAGAAGAAGAAGAAGAAGAAATGGAGTTTTAATTCTCTCAGCTAGTTTGTAAAAGACGGGAAGGAGGATAATACTGAGTTATTTGTAAGAACTCAATTCTGGGATCAGACTAACTGGGTTCTAATCCCTTTTCTGACATTCACAAGTTATAAGATTTTTGATACCCTGTGCTTCTGTTTCCCTATCAGTAGAGAAATTATAGCACAGGCATCACAGGGTGTTTGAGAATTCGGTAAGTTAATCTGTGAAACTCAGTTCTTGATGTACAAGTGCTTGGTAAATATAAACTAAGATCAGTAATACTATTTCTAGTTGACAACTGGGGCACAGAGAAGTGATATGACGTTCTCCCGGACACACAGCTGGGAAGATGCAAAGTCAGTGTTTGTTGGGAGCCCCTGGACATCTCGGTACCCCCATCCCACAAGCTCTCCTGGGGGCTGGCTGCCCAGAGCCCATCTCACCTGACTGGTGTGATCAGCACCCATGTGCAGCAACATCTGGACGCAAGACAGCCTATCTCGGGCCTGAGTACTTAGCACCCGGGGACACAGGTCGGGTGGGAACATAGCGACATTGAGGGCCAGGATGGCTGTGTGGAGAGGGGTGAGGCCTGTCGAATGGAGAGAGTGAGGGCTCTGGATCTGGAGCACCCACCCCACCCGCCACACTGGCTCAGTCCATAGCCCAACTTACCCTCAAAGTCTCTGGCTTCTAGGTCAACCTGAACCCCTGAGTTAATCACAGCCTGAGGGGGAAGAGAATTCAGAGTGGTCAGTTAGGGTCTTCCCAGGCCTCTCAGTCCTGGAAGCCAGGATCTGGGCAATCAGTGTACCCCCACCTGCCACAGCCATACCGAGAGGACTCCTGGGAGCCCATAGGCAGCAGCCACGTGCAAGACAGAACGTCCCTGATGGTCAGTAGCATTGGGCTCCGCTCCCAGGTTCAACAGATCCTCCACAATCAGGGGCTGGTTGGCAGCAGCAGCCACCAGGAGAGGAGTCTGCAGATGACAGGAAAAGTCAGTCTGGGCCCCCAGCCCATTCTCCACTGAAAATCAGGAATCCAGGCCCCCAAGCCTTCTGCCCTCAGATTCAGGAGTCCAGGCCCCTGGCCCTCACCTTGCCCTTATGCTCACGGATGTCCAGATGTCTATACACTTGGAGCATCTCTGCTGCAGCATATGCTGCCCAGCGGAGCCCCCGAGCCGCCAACAGGTGCAGGAGTCTGAGGACAATGGGGACAGCAGTGAATACAGCCCCCCAGCCATTCCAGGAGCCCGCAGACTCCATTCCCCTATACTCACGTGTCTCCCTCCTCATCCTGGGCCAGCAGCTGCTGTGGCCCCAAGGCCAGCATATGAGCACGGGCTGTGTCCAGGGATGGTCCGGTGACCACAGGGGGCAACTGTGGGGGTCCTGAGGGGAGTCCAGAACCTTTCCAGGAGCCCACTTGTGGCAGGGAAGTTTCTGTATAAAACCGGGAATCCAGGGGCTCCTGAAGGGTGCAGGGGTGAAGAGTCAGTCAGCTGAGGATTCCCTCTTCCCAACCCAACCCACCACACACACAATTACACATATAGAGCACCAGGTAGAGTGGCTACGTGTCCCATCTATGCCAAGTAAACTCGGACCTTTGGGCCTTAATTTTGCCCATGAGGAATAAGACTGTAACCCAGCCCCAAACCACTCAGAATGGTGCATGAAAGCAATTAGGAGTTTTGGGGGCACCCCAACATTCTGTTCCCACTCTGTATCTCACCTCCATTCCCAAGGGAAATGGATATGGCTGCCCTGGGTCCAATGGTGGGCAGAAGTCAGAAGTCAGGAAACCTTCAGCAGCAGAAGTGGGATAAGAGTAGGGGCTGTCTGTGTAGGCAGCATGTGTATTGGGGCTCCAATCTGGAAAGCACGTGGCGGGGGCCAGGCTGCCAAGTCCAGAACCCACAGCCTCCTGGTGTGCCGGGAAGTGAGTATGGCCTGCATGTGAGAGGAGGAGCAGGGCCACGCCTGGTTACCTTACTTACCTAAGTAAGTCACAGCCAAGGCTGGAGGACCTGTGTGAAGGCCTGCAGTCTCCCAAGGTACTGAAAGCTAGTACCTCTGGGACCTGGAATCCTGGGACACCAAGGAAATGGGAGGCTGAACTGGGACCTGGAATCCTGGGACACCAAGGAAATGGGAGGCTGAACTGGGACCTGGATTCTAGGATGCTGAGCAGTTGAGAGCCTAGACTCCCAGAGCACCAAAAGGCTGGGAGCCTGGTCCCCTGGGACACCAAAGGACTATGTGCATAGACTACTGGACTGCAGAGAACCTCTGGAAGATCAAACTTCCACCGGGTCCCAGCAAGAATAAGGGCCCGACTCCCAGGTTTCCCAAAGTTCTAAGTTGGGATATGAGTCCCTGAGAGAAACTGGGCTGGGAGCTGACGAAACCAAAATAAGTTTCCAGACTTACCAACCTCACCCTCATTCACAGATGGGGTCAGGGGCTGGGCCAGAGGGGGTGGGAACTGTCCCTGTAGAGACATAAGGAAGAAGGAACATGGTTGAATTTATCTGGAGATTCCTCAGCATTCATTCTCCATCTACAGGGCATCTAAGTCGGGACTGTGTCTCTCATCAGCCCTGAGGACCCAGCAAGCCAGCAAGTCCCTGCCCAACAGGACATGGCCTCCTGAGAGTTGTAGTGGACAGGGCTCCATGGGCCTCACCGGTGCCCCACCAGCGTCTGGCTGTTGCTGGCGGCGCCTCTGTTCTTCCAGGAGCTTTTTCACCGTCTGTGATGGGCAGTGGCTGCGCTCATTCCGGCTCACTGCGAGGCGGAAGTGGGGGAAGGGGGGAAAGAAGTAATCAGGACCCAAGTTGTAGGGGGAGGATCTGGGCGCCCTCCCGCGCTCCTCGCCCTCCCGCGCTCCTCGCCGTCCCTCACGGAAAAACTGGCACACTGATGCCGCCTGAGAACTCCAAAGCCAAACTAAGGTTTCGGGTGTGGTGCCCGCCCACCTCCGCCGTTTCCTTCCTTTTACTCCGCACTTTCCCCTCTGACCCAACTTTCCACCAGCATCATGGAAACTGAGGACGGGGGAGGAGGGTGCCCTTCTGCGCTCCCCCGCCCGGACTTCCGTGAAAAAGCCCACCTCCAGATCTCCCATTCCTGAGGCCTCAGGGGCTATCTAGCATCAGATCCTGGACAGGCGCATCCAGGCTCCCAACATCTCTCTGCCCAAGAAGCTGCCCTGAAGCATCCCCAGACCCTCTACAGGGGGAACTACAAGTCATTAACCCTCTGGAGCTCCTCAGATCCAGAGGTTCAGATCCCATCCCCACCTTCAGACCTAGTAGCCCAGGCCCCATCCTGCCAGAGTCTGGACCTTCAGCCTCTTTCTCCCTAGGACCTGGGAGTCCCAGTTCCCAGGCGCTTCGTTCACACAACCCAGAAGACCCGCACTCTCAACCCTCACCCTTTCGAGTTCAGGCGGAGGAAGGGTTAAGGGTGGGAGAGAGACCCGGAAACAGCCCAGAAGTTACGCGCTGACGTCACCGCGCTCCCGCAAAGGAATCTTCCATTTCCCTCTTCCTCTCTCAGGCCCACCCCAGGGGTCCGGCTTGGAGGCGGAGCGCGGCCAAGCGTGGCTCTCGTGGAATCCCCGCACATGGGGAATTCCTGCTCGGCCCGGGACCTGGGACGGGTGGTAACCCGGGAAGTCCCGGTGGGGGGCACAATCACGGCCAACGCTGCGGCCAGGCGCCTGACCTTCCCACTGAGGCCCGTGGCTAATTTTAACAACCACGGCCCTAAGGGCTCAGTCCTGCCCGGATTTCTAGGGAAAGGAATCCCGGCTGCCAGCCCTCTTCCCACAGGACCAAAGGTCCAGGTTCCAAGCCCTTTCATCCCCGAGACTGAAGATTCCGGATTCCAGTCCCCTTACCGCTAGGACCAAAGAATCCAGAATTGCAGCCGTTCCTCCATCGTGACCCCAGAATCCTGACCCTATCTCCCTTCCAAACACTGGGTACTCTCAGTGCTAGAACCCAGAACCTGATACTCCCGCTCTGTTCCTCAGGACTTCAAGAGTCCGACTCCCAGCCCCTCACTCTTCCGGGGCCAAGCAGGCCTCATCTCCCGTCCCTCCATTACCTCGGGGATTCCGTTGCACAGACTGCGGGCCCCCAGGGCCCCGGCCTCGGCGCTGCGCCAGCCTCGCTGTTAACCCGCGGAGCCGCCGCCGGGTCCCCGATCTTGAGCCCGGCCAGCCGCGAGTTTTTAAACTGGGGTCTAGCACCGCCCGTCCCGGGTAGAGCCCCGCCCACAGCCCGGGAGTCCCCGTGTCACGCTCTAGCAAACCCAGGCTCTGAACCGGCTGTGTTGACTTTGGGTGTGCAGTCCAGAGTGTTGGGAGACAGAGCTGGGAGGCTTCCCAGCTTTGGTCTAAGGGAATAGGGCCTGGGATACTGAACTCCTGAAGGAGGAGAAGGGCACTGGGAACCTGGACTTACAGGTCTCTGTGTAGGGGTTGCTGGAGACCTCAACTCCTGGGCCCTGGGCTGGTGCTGGGGGTGGGGGCAATAATAGAGGGTTGTGGGAGGAGGTGTCGGGGAGGAAAGGTCTGTAGGTAAGAGTGATAAAAGTGGACGCAAATTTCTCCCTTTTCCTCGCATCACCTTCTTTTTCAGAGGTCAGTTCTCATTTATTCATTCATCATTTAAAATAATGTATTACTACAGGGAAAGCTCTTTGCTCGGTGCTGTGGCATAGCTGACTGACATTCCAGGGAGAGGCCGTTGTTCTCAGTTCCCATCTTGGCTACTATCCACAGCACTGACAAGCGTTAACCCTATTTCTCCCCTGCTTCCAAAAATCAATTTTTTCTCCTGGTGGTTCTCCTCCCTCACTTGCTGCTCCCTCTCAATTTCCCTGGCAGTTTCCTCCTCTTCACCCATTCTTGGAAAGGGGGGAGGGAGTGGTTCTCCAATCTGTACTAACTTCCTTGGTGACTTCATCCAGTCTCATGGCTTTAAATACCATCCATAAGCCACCAAACCCCAAATTTACGTCTCCAGATCAGACTTAACCCCTGACCTCAAAAAGGCAGGTGTGGTCATTCAACTTCTCCACAGGGAGATCTAGCAGGCATTTCCAACTCAGTGTGCCCAAACCTCTGGCACTTCCCCTCATTTACCTGGTCAAAGGATGCTCCATCTTTCAATTGCTTAGGCCAGAAACTTTGGTCATCCTGGATCCCTCTCTCCCATCTATACAAACCCTTATCTACTCCAGTAACAACTTTCGTTGGCTCTACCTCCAAAATCCAGGATCTCCCCAGTGCCCACACCCAGGTACCTCCTACCTGGACAATCATAGCAACCTCCCTGATCTCTGACCCTTCCCCTAATTTGTCCCTAAAGGCAGTCACAGGGACCCACCTTGTCTCTTCCTGCCACCCGCCGCCCTGCCACCCCACCCCCCGCCCCCCGCCAGGAAGCAGTTGGCTTTGCTACTGAGACAGGATAGTAAGAAGCTAGGGAAATTCCTTGGCAAGTGGAACAAGGAGACTGAGGCCAATAGCTGAACAAGTTGACTGAACAATTTACAGCCAGGTACAGGAGTTCACTTCCCTGGAGGTAACATCTAGGCCTCAGTTGTATTTCAGCTCCAGACCCAGAAAAGCAGAAAAACCTGGTGGGCGATGCCAGGACCAGCTGCAATGACCACGTGCTCTGGCACTAACCAATCAGTAGAGACCAAGACCTAAAAGCACACACCTGGAAAACCGATGACAGTCTGCCAAAACCCTCCCCTGAGACCTACCCTGATTCCTCCTGCCTGAGGGGGTGGTGGGGAGAGAAAGACTGAGACAGAAAAGCCTCAAGACAAAGAACCCAGCAAGTGAGTTCTCCCCTTGGGGAGCAGCCCACGCCATTTCCATTTCCGTCTTCTTCCCTTTCTTCTTCCCCCACAGGCTTCAGTCTCCTAAACTATAAGGGACCCCAAGACTTGCAATCAGGGGAGCAATGGGCTGTAGCTCATCCCAGGCTAATCACCTGAACCTGTTCCAAGACCCACTTGTCTCTGACTTCCCAATGAGCTACAGCAGCCCAGTCTGGGCTCTCCTGTTGCTTCTTCTGTGCTAGGCTCTTTGTTTCCTTGTCCCCAGCTTTAATAAATGTACCCGTACAGTCATCTGGACTTGTTTTGTGAAATCTTTCCTACACAAAGTCAAGAACACACATAGTACAGGCTGACCTTAGGCAGGCCCACTCAGGGCCAGGTCTCCTGTCCAGTAACTTTTGTCTCCGCAGGCAATGACAGGGATAGGTCGCCTCTTCTCTTCCCCCGACCTCCCCACAGGAAGCAGTTGGCTTTACCACCAGCAGGGTGACATCCGCTTTTGCTGCCTCGTTACTCCCCCACTGTTCCTCAGAACCTCTCTGGACCAAAGCCTTTGCCAGACCCCTTCTAGCCTCCAGCCCACCATGATCCCTCCGAGCAACATGCTGTTCCTGCTTTTGTTCCCAGGTGAAGCCAGCAGTTATGGTGGGGAGGGGTTGTGGCAACCGAGTATTTGTGAAACGGGCAGCTTTGGTGGCATCTGAAGGGAGGGGCAATGAGAGCAGATCCTTCTCCAAGTGCCCCTTTCCTTCCCTTCCTGGAGATGCATTTGGCTTTGGGGCCTGGTTCTTTGGGGAGGGAAGCCGAATTCTGAGGTGCCTGCCTATTAACCTTCCCTTCTCACTGCTGGGTCTCTGCCTCTTCTCATTTCCTGTCTCTCCGCTTCTCTAGGAGCTCCCCTCCCATTTGGTCCCTCTTTCTCATTTGATCTTTTGGAGTGGAGCTTACCCCTCAGGACATCATCTTTCCCTGCACTCTGTTTTGGGAACCACCTCTCCCCACTGATTACCTTCCCTCTCTTTCCACAGTGGCTGCAGCTCAGATAATCCCAGGTGAGAAATCAACACACCCCCTTTGCCATCCTTCTTCAGGTACTGTCTCCATCCGTAGTGTGGCTTGTGGATCCTAAAATACCCCCAGCAGCTCCCCAGATCACCATTTCATCCCCAAATCAGAGCCCCCGAGGGTCTGCAGCCCTTTCCAGGTCCCCATCTCCCTGCCCTCTTCCCCAAATTGAAGCCCCAGGGACTCGGCCAACCCTCAGCCTCTCTCTTCAGGAGCACCCACTATGCCCAAAGCACAGCATATGCCTCACTATGCTGGGATACCCCAGACTCTCTCTAATTCTCCATGTCCCCTTTCATGACCCAAGTGCAACCCCAGGGAACCTGGGTCCCCCCTCAGGGACTTCCCCTGTCTGCCCTTATGACCAAAGCACTGTCCTGAAAGCCCGAAGCTCCCCTCACCCGCCTTCTTGTTTTGGCCCCCACCCTCCAGGTTCCTGTTCCGGATGTGGGCCCCTCCCCTTGCCACTCCTGGCAGGTCTTGTGGCTGCCGACGCCATGGTATCTCTACTAATCGTGGTGGTGGTGTTTATGTGTGCCAGCCCACGTGACAGGCCCACCCAAGGTAAGGGCAGAGACAGGGCAGGGCCTGGAGTGGGGGTGGTGTCCCTAGGGAAGAGGTTTCCCTGGAGGGCACCCCTGGGGAAGCCCTAGAGGTGCTGCTGGGGAAACCCTGGGGGTGCTGCTAGGGGAACTCCTGAGGAAACCCCTGAGGCAGGGGGTCCCCAGGGAGGAGGAGATGTGGGTGGGTGGTGGGTGGTCAGGCCTCATGCTTTCTCTCCCCCACCCCCAGAAGATGGTAAAGTCTACATCAACATGCCTGGCAGGGGCTGACCCCCCGTAACTGCGACCTATGACTTCTGACCCTCTCATTCTGGATTGTGTGTGGTGGCACAGGAAACCCACTCCCCCATTTGGGTTGGAATAAAGTAATTGAAATACCTCTACTTCTAATTCTTCTTCAAAGAACCCAGGGTCCCCCAAGGCTCCCTCCCATTTAGCTATTTCTGGGTCCATGACCCATCTTCCCAGAACTCCACACATCCTCATCCCCTCAGCCCAGGGATCTGGAATAACTCAACAGTGTTTTGTGCTCCATGTTTATTTGGGGGCAGCGGTGTGGGAAAGTGGGATATTTCAGAGAGGGCACTCTGTAGATCTGTATCTTGGTCGGAGTAGGAATAGGGTGCTGGGTAGCTATCAGGGATGACTGGATCCAGGCATCACGTTGTTGACTGCCATAGTTTGGGCTCATTTGTAATACTGCCTCTGTGTGTTGAGGTCACTGTAGACATCTGACCTCTGACCTTGGAGCTCCTAAAGGGATGGACAGAGTGGGGACCATCAGTGGAAGGGGTCCACCAAATGAACGTAAAACAAAATCCTACCTTCTCCTAGTGGCCTGCAAGTCCCCCGGTAGCTTCTTCAACCTTGCAGCCATGTTAGACATCTAGATTCAAGTGCCTTCAAAGTTCTCTTTTCTCCTCTGCCTCATCATTATGCCCCAGCCTCAGGGCCTTTGCACATACTATTCTTTCTGCCTGGAACACCGGTTCCCTAAATGTTCCCATGGATGGTTCCTTCTCCCCCTTCAAGTCTTAGCTCATGTCACTTCCTCAGAAAGCCGTTTCTTAATTTCCCCATCTGTAGTTTCTTCCCCCCACACCCCAGTCACAGTCACATCAGCCTGTGTTATTTCTTGATGATGCCTTCCCAAATGATCTTGTTAATTTGCTTCAAGCCTATCTCCCCAACTAGGACGTAAGCTCTGCTGCTATGTCCTCAGTACCTGGTATATATAGGTGCTCAACAAACAGAGTGAAGCAATGCTTTACCCTGATATTTCACTGCCCCCAGTAGTTGGAAAGCCCCTTCAGTCTTCCAGGACCTCACAGAGCCAGACTCAAGATTCTTAAACTTTACAAAGAGACTTTTTATCACAAATGAGACAAAGCAAAGCTGGTGTGGATAAGTAAAAACAGATTTCACAGAGCAGGGCTCATAGTGGCAGAGGATAGTAGGGTCTACGGCCCCAAAAGGCAGGCATCACACAGAACCCCTGAAATCATATATGCATATAGCTGGTCTGCATGTGCATCTTTCTGGGAGGGGTCTGTTTGGCTTCCATTAGATTCAAAGAAGAGTTCATGACCCCCTAAGGGATTAAGAACGATGTTGACAGAGAGGCAGGAGATGGAAAGATCCCTCTGTCTGCATCATGGTTCTTAAGGGTTTCAAAGATATTTGTTACCACTCCTAGATTATATGCACAATTTTGTGATTTTTGTGTGGATTTTTCTGAGGAGTCTCTATCTTTCATCAGCTTTTCAAAAGGATGCAGGATCCCAACCCCACTCTCTGCCCCCAAATTCTAGAACTATCCTCTTTAGAGTTACCAAACTAGGGTTGAATTATATTGTCTGCATGGATGAGAACGTCTCCCAGAAATCAGCCTGTCCTGAGCCGGGCTTTTCCAGAACATTCAGAGTCTGCCTTCTGGCTATGGCCTGCATTTGTTTGCCTTTGCAAAGGCAAACCATCCCTATATTTCCTCTCCACACATTTTAAGCTGAGTATAAAGTCATGATTAATCATTGAAATTAGTTTTGGACAGATGCTCCATTAGTCTTCCAGGGTTTGAGGAGCTGCAAGAAAGTGGCTTTAAAGTGTAGGTTCTAGAGAGACTTGGGGTATGGGAGTGTTTAGGACAGACACCCACAGGGCAGGAGCGAGATAGAAGAGAAGCTGGTGTCCTCACCTGATAAGGCGACTCTGTCTCAGTGATGTGCTGCTTCCGGGCCACTGCTGGGGTGGAAAGTGGCACAGGGTACAGAGACATACAAGGTGGTGAACTGGGATTTGGTTGATGTAAAATCAGCCCCTCCATCACCGTCCTTGTGGATGGTTGTGACTTGGGAGCTTACCCCTCCCATCCAGGCAAGTCCCCAGAGGGTCCCATCCTATTCCAGCCCCACTTACCCTCCACAGCCCCTTGCCCTCGAGGAACCAGCCGGCCCAGAGAGTACACAGCCAGGGCGATGAGGAGGGTAAGCACCAGGTCCCCCAGCACGATACCCGCCAGCACACCAGGGCTCACTGCTGAGCAGTTGCATTCTGGGGATGTATGTGGCACAGGGGTCAGGGGAGGTCAGTGGGAGTGGGGAAATTGGGAGAAGGTGTCTGCAGGGGAGGTTTGGAGAGATATGGGAAGAGATGGAGAGGTCTTTCGGAAGTAGGGAGGGGGATTTCAGGGTCTAGGCCTACCACTCGTGGTCTGGGCCTGGACACGGCTGAGACCTGAGGAGAAACAAAGAGGGTAAATTGGGGCATGGGGCCATGACCGGAGGATGGGCATGGTAATTTACCTGAAGGTAACTTGGGGCAGGGAGGGCAGAAGCTGGGGAGGTTGAATCCTGACAGCTAGGGGGCCAGGGTGGAGAGCAACCTCTGATAGAGACCTGTGACCAACACACAGATCACTGGACTGTGTTACTGTTACACTGACTTGTCCTGTTACAACACCCTTAGAGTCCCATCCCTCGTCCCTCTGCTTCTTCTGGAGGCCAAATATTAGGGTCTCAGGTTCTGAGAGAGACCGATAGGGTTTGGGCGGCTGGGGACCTGCTCCCATCGCAACCTTCCCCTTTGGTTCTCTCTTTCCACCCTGCTCCCTGCCTTGCCCCAAGCTGAGCCCAGGGACTCAGGAGGTAGCTGCAGAAGCCCCAAACTCACCTCCCACAGTCAGAAGGAGAGGCAGGAGCAGGAGCCTGTTGGAGGGTCCAAGGCCCCCCATGATGCAGGTGACACTGCTGGATACTACAATCCAAGGGCCAGAGGGATGTGGCCAACTCAGTGAAGGAGGAAGTCTGAGTTGGGTGGTGGCAGGAGGAAGGAGGGGACAATAGGGGAGGAGGGACAGAGACAGACATAACACCAGAAAGAATCAAGCCCAGGCACCCCAGGGGCAATGCTATGGCCCTCACTGGCTGTACATGAAGGGCAAAGGGTACAAATATGAACTTGACCTCCATCCCCAATCAGGGGTTGCACATTGTAATAGGAAGATCAGTGGCTGGCTATGATTGAAGCCAGCTCTTCCTGGCTGGGCAACCTTAAGCAAGCCACTCAACCTCTCTGGGCCTCAGTTTCCTCGTGTGTAAAAGAGGGAGTAAAATAGTACAAACTTTATAGGGAGTTGTGGGATCAAATAAATTAATGTTTCTAGAACAGGGGCTGACATTCGTCAGCTTTTTATAAGTGCCAGCTATAATTATTAGATAATCAGAACCTTGTGATTTTCATAGCATTTTAAAGAGAGCCATCAGGATATGGGCACTAATAATGTGCAGGCACTCTGTCCCAAGTGTCAACTCATTTAACCCCACTAGACCCTTTTGACATAGATGCTCTTATTCCCATTTTACAGAAATGTAAAGATATTTGCCCAAGGTCATACAGCAAATAAATGTGGAAATGGAACTCAGGACCCAAAGACAGATACTTGACCCTTAGAGAGAAAGCAAAAAAGGGCCAAGGTAAAAGATAGAGAAGAAGAAAATGATGGTAAGACAGAGAAAGAGGGAGAGGAACAGACAGTGACTCAGATACACACATCACAGACACAAGACTGGGCATTAGGCTGAGGCAGGTGGGGTACAAATTTGGTGATAACTGGGCTGGGCTGGGCTGCTCTACCAAATGAGGAAGTGGCTAGAAGCGAGGACTGAGGGAGGCCACCCAGAAGGAGACAGGGACTGCTAGCTCTCAGCAGGAGGGCTGGAGCTGGGGCTGGGGAAGGAGGAACCTGACGTTAGGGTACTGGGGGGATGGGCCAGCCGCAGGAAGCTCCCTTCCCCCACCCAGGCGTCACACCCCACAGCTCCCTGGGCCTGAGCTAAGGAGAGAAAAGGGGAAACTGGGTGCTGGTCATGGGACAGACTCTGAGTGGCCCATTGCTGGGGCAGGGTGGGGGTGGGGGAGATCTGGAGTCCAGAGGGGAGAGTCAGGGCCCGGTCTGAGGCTGCACTGGCTGCTGACAAGGAGAAAATTCGGAGACATACTAAATTAAATTACAGCAAGCCATGGGTGGAAGAGAAAAGAGAGATTAATCAGCTAACAATTGAAGGGCAAAGGCAACAAAAGACTGCTTACTTCCTGAATGTAAATATATTGAATTAACTTCCAGCAGGCTATTTCTTCCATTATCCAGAGAACAGCCAAGTGAATGGCCAACCGCAAGGCTCCACCAATCCCTGGCTCAGCTTTTTGTTTACACATGAACCTATCAAACTGTTGTCTACAACCAATCCAAAGGAGCAAATATTTCTTCCTCATGGACCATGAACCTATCCTATCCCAGAACTAGCCCTGCCTCAACTTCTACCATCCTCTTCATCTGTACCCAATGTAAATTCTCTAAAAAGAACTCACATCTTTCTTCCCCAAACTCATTATATAGAAGAACCCCATCAATTCCAGGATGATGGACATGTTGTCTTCTCTATCTAGCCCTGCTGCTTGTGGTTTAGACTACATGCCCCAGGATCTGGTCCTTTTCTGGCTAGCATTTGGCTCAGTAAACTCTTTCTTTCAGAAAAGCTTTCGGAAAAGCTTTCTTTGTGTAACACTGCTAATGACTGCAATTGTCCATGCCTGGCTGAATCCTTTTGCTAAAAAACCAACACCCCCACCACCATCGCCACCACCAGGTCTGGAGTGAACATGGAGAAAACAGGCCCTTCAGGCCCCACTGGCACCTCAGACCACTCAGGGTGAATGAAGCAGAGTGAGCCAGGGACAATCAGGGACCGCGGGAGGCTTTGAGCTAGGAGGACCCTGATCTGACTCCTGTGTGCATCAGCCCCCTCTGTCGTGGCATGGGGAGCAGACTTTGGGTACAGGGAGGAGATCGCTGGGCCAGGGTGATGTCAAGGTCTGATTTATAGTGAGGATTTGTGATGTCTATCAGAATAATGTCTGCATGGCACCCTCTATATGCTCAATGAATGTTAATTATCATCATCGTTATCATTTACAGTATTTCAAGTCTCCAGTTCTGGGGTCACCTTGATAAAAATCCTTCCTCAATCCTTGAGCCTCAGGCTCAGGCTCAGCCTCCTGATTGGCTCCTTCCAACTCCAGCTGTTGTCAGTGGAAATTAGGCTCTTTCACAGGATTGCTGATCGGGAGGAAAGCATTCCAAGGGCTGATGCACAGGAGATTGTGGTGTGGCACGGTTTATTGGGTGGAAATAGAAACTGCCCCCTAGGTTTCCAATGTCCCACCTCCCTCCATTCTGCAATGGAAAATCAGGGCCAGAAATAGAGTCAATGTCCATAGATTCTGTGTCATATCAAAGTACGATCCAGTCCATTATTGGCTAGCTTAACTTGTGTTTCCAGCTGCAATTCATTTTAAACTCCCTCCTGGAGCTTGTGTGTGGAGTCTGTGTGGCCATGGGACATGTGGCTGCTAGGGCCACAGGGCCATGGAGAGAACAAGTGTATTACTGGGTAGGGCGAGGGTGAGGGGGGGCGCGCGGGGGGGGGAGAGAGAGAGAGAGAGAGAGAGAGAGAGAGAAAGAGAGCGATCCTTTGTTCCCCTGGGATTATATTAGCTTGGGTTTAGGATGGACCAGGTGCATTTTCAAAATGACTAATCAATTTTCCAAGCTTTTTCAGGTTTTGGATAGTTCCACACCCCTAGTTAGACTGACAGGCCTCTTCTGGTCCAGGACCTCCCCCTGAGCCCCCCAACAATCTGGTACTGGAGGCAGGGAAGGGAGGAGTGTTAATCTCCGTGGTGGAGCAACGCTGTGTTTCCCTGGGGTGTGAAAAGCTGTAGCTTCCTGGTGAAGCAAACAGGCTATGCTCCCCAGTTTATTAAGCTCAATGCCTAGTTCCCTTTGCTCCCTTTTTCTTGCTAAATACCTATGGTAACACAGCCAGGTCTGGCTGCCCCCAGAATTCAGTCTAGTAGCCAGCACATCCAGTTAGAACAGGTGTGGCCAGAGTCCTGAGCCTCCCTTTAGTTACAGAGATGTGGGGGAAGTCCAAGGTGTCCCAAGGGAATAGACTGAGGCAGTGACAGATATCTGTAGGTGGTCAGGTAGAGGCTTCTTATCAATCAAAAGAGAAGTCTCTCAGTAGTTTAGCAACCAGTTTAACTGTATTGATAGAGACCATGAAATGCCAGCCTGTGCTGATCTCCACGGTCTCCACTACACTGGGTAAAGAAAGAGGCTGGAATGGAATAGCACACAGCTGATTGGGTGTTGCCCCACCCCCACACTGCCAGACTCCAGGAAGTAGGGCTATCCCTCTTCTCCCCATGAGATCTTTCGAGTGTCTCAATCTCTCCTAGCAGCAGCCCAAGAGTTGAAGGCCAAAGCTGACTTTCCCAGAAAGCAAGTGATATGTTGAGCCTGTGACAAGCTAGTCTCTGTGGGTGACAGACGTCTTTACTCTCTGCTTTCGTTTTTGTCTTCTACAGCCCATTCTGCCCACAGTAACCAGAGGGAGCTTTCTGAAAATCAAAGAAGCCAGTTTTTTATTTTTTTTAATATTTTATTTATTTATTTTTAGAGAGAGGGGAATGGAGGGGGAGAAAGAGAAACATCAATGTACGGTTGTCTTTCGCATGCCCCCCACTGGGGACCTGGCCTGCAACCCAGGCATATGCCCTGACTTGGAATCGAACCTGTGAGCCTTCGGTTCGCAGGCTGGCGCTCAATCCACTGAGCCACACCAGCCAGGGCAAAACCCAGTTTTTTACATGGCCAAAAGATTTAGCACATATCACAATAGAAGAGATATAAATGGCCGATCAGCACGCAAAAAAAAAAAAATGTTCAACATCATTAGCCATTAGGGAAATACAAATTAAAACCACAATGAAATACCACTATATACCCACTAGAATGACTAAAATTTAAAAGGCTGGAAAAAAAAGAAAAGAAAAGAAAAGAAAAGAAAAGAAAAGAAAAGAAAAGAAAAGCAGCCCTGGCTGATGTGGCTCAGTGGATTGAGTGCCGGCCTGTGAACAAAAGAGTTGCCAGTTTGATTCCCAGTCTAGGTAGGGCACGTGCCTGGGTTGCAGGCCAGGTCCCCTCTAGGAGGCACACAAGAGGCAAACACATTGATACTTCTCTCTCTCTTTCTCCCTCCCTTCCCCTCTCTAAATAAGTAAATAAAATCTTAAAAAAAAAAAAGGACTGACCCTATCAGCAGTGATGTGAAGAAATGGAAAATCTCATACACTGTTGGTGGAAATGTAAAATAGAACCACCACTTTAGGAAAAGATTTTAGTAGTTTCTTACGAGGTTAAATATTCAACTATGCAGAGCTTCAGCAATTATACAGAAACAGGTATTTACCCAAGAAAAATAAAAACATATGTTCACATAAAGATCTGCACATCTCTCTCTACGCCCCCCACTCCCATCCTACCTGCCTTCCCCTCATTTACCCTACTCCTGCTACACTGGCTTCCTTGCTGTTTCTTGAATAAGTCAAGCTCATTCTCACCTCAGGGTCTTTGTACCTGCTGTTCCCCCTGCCCATGATGCTTTTCCCAAAGTCTCTGTATATCCAGCCCCTTCTCATCCTCCAGGATTCTGCTCAAATATCAGACCCTCACAGAGGCTTCCCCTGATCACCACTGCTCAAGTCACCTCCCACCACCAATTTTATTTTCTTCCTATATTTGTCATACCTGAAATTCTCTGATTTATGTGTTCCCATTTCTACTGTCTGCCATTTCCTCTAGAATGGAAACTCCATGAAAACAGGGACCTTTCTGTCTTGTTCACTGTTGTGTCTCCACTACACATAATAAGAAACTCCATAAATATTCTTTGGCTATTGGACTGAATGACCACCAGTGATAACTGGAAAGATTAAATAGGGCTCTTTATCTCTGCAGATTGCAGACATATTCACGATTGTTCTTGCATTAATCACTTGGCTGGTAAGAATGCTAGTGTACCCTAATATCCTTCTGTTTTCATCACAGAATTTTTAGCAGGGCATCTGGCCACTACAATAAAGACTATTTCCTACAGACTCATCAATATAGAGAACAGACTGACGTGTAATAGAGGGAAGGGGGGTTGGAGGGCTGGGCGAAAAAGGTGAAGAGATTAAAAAGTACAAATTGATAGCTATAGAATAGTCACAGAGATGTAAATTACAGCATAGGGAATATAGTCAATAACATCATAGTAACTAAGTCTGGTGTCAGATGGGTACTGGAAATATTGGGGGCGGGCCACTCTGTAAAGTATATGGTTTTCTAACTACTATACTGTACATCTTAGATTAATACAGAATAAAATTGTAATTCAGTTTACAATTGAATGTAAACTGTAATTGGGGAAAAAATATTGTATCTTCTGGCCTCATTTGCATTTAGAGTAGCCATAGGACTTCATTCTGGCTGATTGGAAGCATGGGAACTGAAAGAGAAATTTATAGGTCATAACCTTTGTGAAGGGTACACTCTACTCCTTTTCTCTGATC